TATATATATATATATATATATATATATATATATATATATATATATATATATATATATATATATTATATCACAACAACAACAACAACCCAGTATAATGCCACAAGTGGGGTCTGAGGAGAGTAGTGTGTACGCAGACCTTACCCCAACCCTGGGGTAGGGAGACTGTTTCCGAATAGACCCTCGGCACAAGAAGATGAAATGCGACAATAGAATAGTAACAACATCACCAAAAAGATAGTACCAGCGAGCCACGAGTCAGAAGATATACTTGGAAAAGCAATATCAATAATCAATGCATCGACAAGGTCCTAGAAAATAGTACGAGCACAACATGAACCTCTGGCATACTAAAACACGACACTGACCGACTAGACTTACACACAGAACAGTGTAGAAAAACGCTCAACTACCTACTAACCTTCAACCCTAATGTTGTCCCTCCATACCACCTATCAAGGGCCATGTCCTCGGTGAGCTCAAGTTGCGTCATGTTCTGCCTGATCACCTCTCCCAAATACTTCTTAGGCCGCCCTCTACCTCTCCTCATACTTGTCAGAGCCAACCGCTCGTACCTCCTAACCGGGGCATCTAGGCTTCTCCTCTGCACGTGCTCGAACCATCTAAGCCTCACTTCCCGCATTTTGTCTTTCATGGGAGCCACGCCGACCCTTGCTCGAATATCTTCATTCCTAATCTTATCCAACCTCGTGTGTCCGCACATCCATCTCAATATCCTCATTTCTGCTACTTTCTTCTTCTGGATATGGGCAATCATATGGCCAACATTCTGTCCCATACAACATGGCTAGTCTAACCACCTCTCTGTAGAACCTACCTTTAAGTCCCGGGGCACCTTTTTGTCACACAAAACGCCAGATGTTAACCTCCATTTCATCCAACCTTCCCCTACATGGTGTGTGACATCCTCATCGATCTCCTCGATCTCCTGGATAATCGACCCAAGGTACTTAAAACTTCCCTTCTTGGAGATGAATTGTGAATCAAGCCTCATGTCGCTGTCCACTTCCTCCGTAACATCGCTGAACTTGCACTGCAAGTATTCAGTCTTAGTCCTGCTCAACTTGAAACCTTTTGACTAAAGGGTCTGTCTCCAAACCTCCAGCCTCTCGTCAACCCCTCCTCGCGTCTCATCAATCAGAACTATATCATCAGCAAATAACATATACCATGGCACCTCCCCTTGAATATGGTGTATCAGTGCGTCCATTGCCAGAGCAAATAAGAAAGAGCTGAGCGTATATATATATATTATATATATATATATATATTATATATATATATATATATATACGCTCAGCTCTTTCTTATTTGCTCTGGCAATGGACGCACTGATACACCATATTCAAGGGGAGGTGCCATGGTGTGTGTGTGTGTGTGTATATATATATATAAATTAAATGGTAAAAATGTTAGGAAAAAATATTAACTTCTACTAGAAATTCCCAAAACCCGGTGTTACAAGTGCACGAGCAATCTAGTAGAATATACAAAATCCCTACACGTACTGTCTGAAATAAAATAGACAAAAATAGTAAATACAAGAAGGAGGAGACTCCGGGTGCTGCAGATTGGAGCATGGAAAACAGCTCATCACTAGGTCTCCGGATAATGCTGATGCACGCCCGAACGGATACCAGATGTACCTACCTCAATACCCGCACAATTTGTGCAGAAGTGCAACATGAGTACGTAAATCAACGTGTACCCAGTAAGTATCTAGTCTAACCTCGAAAAATTAGTGACATGGGGCGATATCGACAATTTCTAGTGGTCAATAAATAAAGTACAAGAACTTTAAATAGGCATGAAATACAACAGTGACAATAGAGTAAGAAACAGTGAATAACGTGATCCTTTAATCATGATATCAGTTTAAAATCCCAAATATCACATGCCATCTCAACAAATAAGAGCCATAAGTGATTATCAAATCTCAAGTCATGAAGGAAATATCATGTATATTTTGACTCCTAACAATATTATGCACGAGTTACGCCGTGGTCGTACGGCCCGATCCAGAATAATCGTGTACACTGCCGAGGGATGACCGGCGCAAACCATAGATGCATCTCAAATATAGTGCCGAGGCGTTCGACCCGATCCACAGGAATAGAGAAACTCTACGAACTACAGTCAACAACTACAATACAAGAATGGTACTCAAAGAAGGCATAAATTCCACCTCTATCAAGTATTCTGCCAAAACTCAAGATAATGGAGCTCGATCTAACAAAATCCCAAATCTAATTTCAATTATAAATTCAAGTAATTAAACTAACAAATTAAGTTCAAATAGTACAAATTTGCATGATAAAGTCCTAAGTTTACTCGGACATGAACATGCTTTTAGCTACGTACGGACTCTCGTCACCTCGTGCGTACGTAGCACCCGCAATTAGTAGCACATAACAATGCACCTACGAGGATAAATTCCCTCTTACACGATTAGGCAAAAGACTTACCTCGCATCCAAGTTCATCACTCGGCTCTTCAACCACACTAATTGCCTCAAATCGATGCCGACCAATCCAAAACTAGCCAAAGGTCGGACAAACTAATCAATATATGCTCAAAAGTTCATAATTTATCTATTAGAGTAGTTACCCAACCCAAATAGGAAAGTTCCTAAAAGTCATCCCGAGGCCCATGTGTTCGGATTTCGGAAATTTTCATCGAATAATGTTACCCATGACCCCATGAATTCAAATATATAATTTCTACTCAATTCCATAATCATTTTCGTGGTCTAATCCCATTTTTACCAAACCATAAGATTTTCAACAAAATCCCTTAATTTTTTACAAATTTCTATGTTAAAATCTAACTATAATCTATGTATTAAACTCACATTATGTAGAATTACTTACCTTGAGATGCTAGGTGAAAATCCCTCCCCAAGGAGCTCTAAAATCGGCCAAGAGTTGAGAGAAATGGAGAAAATGAGCCTATGTCCCGGGTTTTAAAATGCTTTTGCCTAGTGATCCTTCTTCGTGATCGCGACAATGCCCTCGCGATCGCGAAGGCAAAATTGCTAAGGCCCTGAAAAACCTCTTCGCGAATGCGACAAGGTCCAGGCGATCGCGAAGGCCAGCCCTGCCAACCATCGCGAATGTGACCCACCCTTCACGAACGCGATGGGCATCGACTTGTTGAGCCCCCAGACCCAAGCCCTTCTATGCGAACGCGACCCAGCGATCGCGAACGCGGAGACCAGTGACCCAAAGATTCGCGACTGCGACCCCGTTATCGCGAACACGGTTAATAGAAGTCCCCAGCCCCAATTCCTTCAATCGCGAACGCGAGGCTTTCTCCGCGTTCGCGAAGAAGAAAACCAGCAGTAGAATTTCTGCAATTTTTGACTTAATTTCGGGTGGTCCGAAACACACCCGAGCCACCCGGGACCCCGTCCAAATGCACCAACAACTCTATAAACATAATACGGACCTACTCGAAGTCTCGGAGCACGTAAAACAACATCGAAACTAAGAATCGCACACTAAAACCAAATTAATCAACTTATGAACTTCAAACTTCTTCAACTAGCTCCGAACTTGACGAATCATACTTAGACAACTCGGAATGACGCCAAATTTTACGCACAAGTCACAAATCACCATACGAACCCATTCCCTGGCTCGGAATCCGAAACGGACATTGATAACACCAAAGTCTACTTCAAACCAATTTAAGAAACTCTTAAAACCTTCAAGGTGCCAACTTTCAACAATAAACACGGAAAACACTCCCGGTTTAACCGAAACTCGATCCGAACACACGTGCAAGTCCAAAATCATCATACGAACCTATTGCAACTATCAAATCCCTGTTCCGAAGTCGTTTACTCAAAATGTTGACTCAAGTCAAACTTGGTCACCTCAGGCCACTATTATGGAACTAAGTGTTCCGAATTCAACCCGAACCCTTCCAAAACCAAACCAATCATCCTCGCAAGTCATAAAACAGTAAAAGCACATACGAGAAGTCTTAAATAGGGGAACGTGGATCTAGAAGGCAAAACGACCGGTCGGGTCGTTACATTAATGATTATGCTGCAATATTTAGGAGTCCCAAAAAGATAAGATACTTTTCTATCGCTCAAAACTCTTATGTGAGGAGCCCTCTTGTATTTTAGTAGTTACTCAGTTCAAAAAGAATTCGTTCTTCATAGCTCTTTTTCATGATGTCAAAGCCTTTATGATCTAATAGAGACCTAACTAGCTTCCATTTACTAGAGGGCATGTTACACCTCCCACCAAGCCGAAGCCTTTTTTTTTCCTTCCTCTTTTTAATAGCTTTGCTAGTCTTGCCAATTTGGTGGTTGTTTTAGTGGTATTGCATCTTTTGTTGTGTTTGTCTTTTGTGTTGTCCTTAGTCCACCCGATTTTGTAACTTCAAGAGGCTTTTGTTTGAAAAGTACTTCAAGAGTTTTGTCTCATTGAAATGAACACAACAGCGAAATCGTTGTCCTACAGCTTTGGATTTTTGTCAAAATGGTAT